CCTCCAGTTTTAATGTAAAAAACTTGGTGTTATTTTTCATCAAGATTTGTCATTTAATCTCCACATTAAAAATGTCATACACTTATAACTTCTAGATGATTAAAACTCTGTATTATCTAGATGTCCAAAAACTATTTAAAAAACCTTCACTTGATCTAAAAATGCTGCTGCTAGAATTATGATGCAATGTAGAAGTAGAAATAAAATGTCTCCAGTTGTAGCTCATCACTGTTAGTCAGTCTATTGTCAAATTCAGACTATAATCTAACGTCTTACTTCTAACATGCAAAGCTTTCAATAGGAAAGCCATATCATACAATAACAAAAGTTTTGCTCCATATTTTCCAAACACAGCACTTCTTTCACAGATTACAGATTTACTTCTGGTTCCTAGTGTTTCTAAAAGTAGAACAGGAGGCAAAGCGTTCAGTTATCAGGCTCCTCTATTGTGGAACCAAATTCCAGTTTGTGTCTGTGAGGCTGATGATGCAACCTTTTGTCTTTCCTTTTGAATAAATCCTCTAGTTAGGGTTGGCTTTGGTTTCCAAAGCTATTCTTTAGTTATGCTGCTATAGGCTTAGATTGCTGATGGAAAAACTTACTTCCACTTTCTTCATTCTGCTGCTGTGCTTACTCTCTCTACTCTCCATTTCCTCAGTCTGAAACTATACAAACTTGAGCTGCTGATCAGCACAGCTGTCCATGGCAAAATAGATTTTTGATGGTTTAAGTGGGATGTGCCTGGCTAAAGAAAGGGTTAAAACAACTTTCCTGGACATTACTAAAAAAATAAGATGATAATTGAAAGAATACAAACAACTTCCAAAAGACTAGAGCTGAATTCCATGTTCAAAGTATAACATTGTCAGACCCCACTAACAGTCACTGTTTTAGTCAATGTGGAGCAGAGAAGAACGAGAAACCATCAAATCATGAAAAAGCAAGACTGAATTTGCCAAAATGCATTGACAAGACTCAAAACTACTGAGAGAAAGTCCTTTGGACACATGGGACAAAACTGGAGCATTTTGGCAACAAGTCACATCCTCTTTAGGGTCATGGAGCCAAAATTAAACAAAAAACCTAAAGCATGACTAAAAACACCCAATAAAGGCTAAGAATAAAACTTTAAACT